TACACAACGGATGTATGTTTTGTTAACTCTGACATCCAATTCAATATATCAAATAAATATGTAATGTTATCTTCGTAACCAGGATATTCTTTAATATATAATTTTGCTCAATTTCATACATTTAATTGTTGTTTTGTTAAAACTAAATAATGCATTCCTTGGTACAAATGTAGATAAAGGATATGACATACGAAATAGGAGCTAATTTTAAATTTTAAAGATTGATAATACAGTATGAATTATATGATATCGGATCTAACACTATTAGTTATACAATGTGTTAGTGACCTAGTACAATAATAAATATAGTGGCCTATCAAAAGTGATGAAGTCTTCTATAAAAAGTCTTCCTTATGAACACTTATTTACCGTATAAAAATAAGAAGATGTGATATGATTTCCAATGAGACAACTCTACAACCGAGACCAAATAAAATAGAATTTAACAATATAAGTTACCGTATGGCCTTCAACAATGAACAACCCACACCGTATAGTCGGCAACAAAATACCTCATAATGACAAATGTAAATCAAGAAACATATTGACCGATTTATGAACAAAACAGTGAACGAAAAACAAACAAATATGGTAGACTCTCGTGTTATTATTAAGACAGACTGAATGCCCTTTGTAGGGATATTGCAGGAAAATATGCAAACCATGTGGGTTTATAGAAGAAAAAACATTAACATTGCATGATCGTGTCAGGCAAAATATGTTTTAAAAGTCAACATAAGATACATAACGCTGCGTATTAACAGTCCAAATTGTATTTTTAAAAGTCTTTTGGGTTTTCAAAATATTTGGCTGTGAGCTATCCTGGTAAAAATTAAACCAGTAAAATCTTTCTTTCGGGGTGCACTGTAAAAGTATGTTAATCCGGTTTATGACAACGGATATTTATTTCATATATGTTTGCAATTTGTTGACAACATAATAATATATATTTTCATTTCACCAGAGAAAATATCCATCTAGCAGATTTTGTTTTTGTGTTGGTGCATGCATTGATATACTACGCCATTTTAACAATTGCAAAATTGGTTAGAATATGGATATATGAAAAGCAATAGGTGTTATTTGCTTAAATTTATAAAAGCGTTACAAATAATTACGGCAAAAGATACAATTTTCTGTTCCCTGTTTTTATTAGTTTTTTGTTTTTTTGCTGTAATGTCCTTTATGACACTTCTTACGGTGTAAATGTTTCCTAACTCGTTCGCTATACCACTTGTTTTCATTGAAAATTTATATTTTAATGAATGTAGTCTTTGAGTAACTAGAAAATCATTAAGTAAGGATATTGATTAAACTTTTATATAATTCTTCCATAGATACACATAATTGGTTTTTAAGTTAAGTATCTATATCGTTCTTATTTTAACGGAATACAGCGTACAATTTTACGGTATTGCTCTTTGTAAAGCCTGTTAATTTAGATACTATGTCTGCATATTATTGATCTATGAATTAAGGATGAAATAACGTAAAATTTACAGTTTGTTCTATTGATGTGTTGTTAAATCACGTTTACATGTTAGAAGAATTGAGCGCTCACATACTTTTCAAAAATCGAAACATGTTATTCTAAACAGATAATAAAAAGGTAACACTAAAAAAAATACAAGTTTAAAGTCAATGATATTATTTATATCGTCATGATCGAAAGGAACTACTGTAAAAGGTACATTTGTAGGTTTCAGGTATATGTGATTGGCTAAGAATATTTTTACTGAAATTCAAACGATATCATTAAAGACAATGCTGCATACCCTTCAGAAATAACATACACCTTTTAACAAAATTGCTGTTTTGTGATACAGCCGTAGAAACACTCCAAACGTATTATTGTTTTTTCGTATTAAAGTACATGTTTCTCATTGACGAAAGATATACAATTATAAAAAGACTCTTACATCGATCAGTTTCATTTTTTTAATGATGCTACCCAACATTGCCAGTAGTGATCAACGTTAAACCTAAAGAGTGTTGCTGCTCTAAATTAACCTCATTACTATATGATTACAGTCTTGGACAATATACGTCGTCATGTATATGATGAACCACTCGGTCATATAACTGTTAAATCTGAAACATCATTCACAACATTAGGATAAAGAACCGTTCGAGTATTTATAAATATTGTACTAAATAAAGACAACAGTTGTATACCGCTGTTCAAAAGTCATAAATCGATTGAGGGAAAACAAATCCGGGTTAACAACTAAAACCTAGAGAAACACATCAACTATAAGAGGAAAACAACGAAACAGCAGAAACATTACCATAAACAAAATTATTCTACTATTTAACCAGTTTCCTTGTTCGAATCAGACACATTTTTTTAAATGTAAGAGGATACAATAATGTTATCATTCATGAGAAAGTGTACAAAACAGTGGCCTTAGTTAATAATGAGGATACTCTGCAAGAATTGCAGAAGATGAACAGTTGTGGTACTGATGATGGACCTTTTTTTTAAGAATCTTGCATAAGTTAGGTCTAACTATTCATAGCTCACTCAGGATTCGAATTTGTCAAAATAATCTCCCCATTACCCCAGCTAATTTTTAAAACGGTAAAAATTAGAAGCCATTGTAGGGATGACGCGCTGCCAATTAAGCTCTTAAAAACCGATCAATTTATCCACGTAGCACCATTACGATCCGTACATGCCAGTTGTATTTGAAAAGGCAAATGTATGTACTAACAATTGAAGTTCATTTCTGCATTTAGACAACATAGAATAATTGTCTGACCGGTGTAATTATCAGGTGAAATTTTCGAAAGTTCAAAAATAATTAAAACGACTCTAATTAAATATGTCGTGGAAGGGCAGATTACAAATTATCAGAGGTTGAAGACTAATAAATCTAGATTTCACACACAACCAAATGAAGCATTTTTGAATATATGCATTTTTAAGATCCACTTGTAAAGTCGGTCGTCAATTAATTTTAGTAAACAATTGCCATTCGAACATACCGACTCTGGTGTTATGACTCATTAGAAAGGTATCTCACTTGACCCGTATATTTAATTGTTTAGCACTGTGAATATTTAATGTTATTTTAAAATCAACCTGCAGCCTGCCTAGATATATGAATATAATAGAATTAGAAGCGAGATGATATATCATATATTTTTGTTTCATACGTTTTCAAGATATAATAGTCGACTCAAACACACCCAAAACACAAAAAGGTGCACTCGACTCTCTCTTTTCGATGCAATTTTTGCCCATTTTTACGATTTGTTCCCAAAAACTGTCGCTGGTGGGGGGGGGGGGTGGTGGGGGGTTGATGGAGGGGTGGCAGAGATGCAATCCAATGCTTTAAAAAGATCAATTTACTATCTTTCGGGCGGAATTTATGTTTATGCACAACAAAGATCCACTTGCATTTGCACCTACCACAATCGACTGATTTTATTAAAATTTATTGTTAATTTAAAAGTTTACAAATATCTCAAAGCTCCATACTATAATTTAAGTAAAAACACGTATATTAGATGCCTAAAATCCTAAATTTGGCACCTTAGAAACAGATGTAAACAATTTAAATATACCAATTTTGCTTTATTACCTTTTCTAACAAAGAGTCCTTTTTCGTTTGTTTAATTTCAAATGGGTATCCGCTTGAGCTGACAAAGAGAAAACTCGGATGTTTACGACTTTCTCTTACTTCAGATAGAATCTAAGGTTGTTATCAACCAGAGGACAAATTCATCTTTCAATATCTTCAATGTATACAAATTGGAAAATACAAATTTTTGTTGATCTACCGTGAATGATAATCGTGAAGCGGGTAAAAAATAGCAAAATTACACACAATATGCATTCGGGAAATATGTAAATCTTGAAAATGACGCAAAAAATGGTTGAGATTGAGTCAGATAGGGAGGGGGGAATCAAAGAACATTCAATACATTCTATAGTCATTCTATATTGAAACCAAATCCTCGCAGAAGGCACGTCAAAATTGCTAGTAAATCACACATATCAAGACAAATAACTAATTAATCTAGGCAAAGTCATGAACTTAAACTATTGGTAACGTGACAAACCCAGTAAAATAATGAAAGAGGCACAACAGAACAGTTTTGAGATACATAGGGAGACATGATGATGCAGAACACAAAGTAGACATATTTTAGTTAATTGAATTTCTCGACAAACATGCAAAAATATTATCTCCTTAACATATAATTATCAACAAATAGCAGCCGTTTAAAGTAAATTTAAAACAAAACGTATGAGAATACTATGAACATGTTTCATAAAGAATATTTATGATTATATTTTATATCTTATCGCAAGCAGTAAGTTATCAATGAAAATAGCGGTTGAAAGATGAACGATCAAAATCAGCGTTAAAGTTAAATTAAATACATCTTCAGGAAAACCTGAATAACAGTAGAGTTTAATAGTAATGTTTGGTCATAAATTGTAGTTTATCTGTTCAATGCTTTTAAAAAAGAACTCAAAGAATATTCAAACGATTGGACTTATAACTAAAGATAATTATACAATTTATTCAAACGAATGGAAGATTAAACAGCCTTTATTGCAACGTGATCAATAAGAAAGACGAATGTTAAAGTTCCCAAAAGATTGCATCTAGCCGGATATGTAATCGTATATTATTTCTCACTGGAAGTAGATCTTAATAGATAATGTCAAATTAGACTAAATGCGTAATGGCATATAATTTCCAATTTAAAACATGGTAAGAAGCGATTTCGCGTCTGTATCTTTTGGCTCATTATCTATTTTTTAAATGTTTTAAATGTGGTATCTAGCCGGATATGTCATTAAATATTATTCGTCACTGGAGATAAATCTTCATTCACAAAGACTTATCAAATTAAATGTACAATTGCTAATCATCTATGCATGCTATTGAAATAATTGTAAAAATTTACTTCGCGTTGGTTGATTTGGATAAATTAAATTACTAAATATTTTATCGAAATATAAAATAGATTGAAAAAAAAGATCGGTGTACTTATACAGGCTTAATATATTCACCAGAAAATAATGTCTCAAGGATGCTGCACACACAGAGGAGTTTTGTTTAGGTTAGTTCGGTATTAATACGTCAAAGGAGCAGTTTATGTGGTTTAATTATGCAATCAGCAAACGATTGAAAAATGACAAGTATTGAGATAAATGTTTGCTATGCCTGCAAAGTTTTTACACGATTCATAAGGAGTTTGTATTTTTGTAATCGATTGCTAACTTATTACTCTGATTTTTGTATGTAATCGTTAACAATCGATTACTTTCCGAAATGTAATAAAATAACATTTCGATTAATTTATGAAAGGTAATACTATAACATTTCGATAACTTTAGATTGCATGATACACAAACCAGTTTTATTTGCTAATTGAAAATTAAGCTGAATAAAATAATTTAAGACAGCAGAGAAGATAATTCTGTTTTAATTGTTTAGATAACATGTTTTCACGTGCAGAGAAATTTCACTTATGACCAGTGCATGATTGGATTACATCTTTCTTATTGGTCACTGATCTTTCGGGGTCAGCACGAGTTCACGTGTAAGTGCGTTTTGGTCACTTCCTTTTATCATCAGCATTTGATGTGTTAACTTGTGATTCTTATCAAACAATTTTATGGATAATTTTGGACTGGAGTGATTTCCTTTTAGCAATTTGAGGTAAAATCGAACTTAACTTTTATTTTTTAGCTATTTTATGCTTACATTCTGAACAAACGTACAGTTAATTTTTTTACCATTCTTCCATTCGGATAGATCTCACAATTTTGATTTATTAATTAATTTGGGTGTTGGTGGCGACACTGTGCGTTTGCGATCAAAATGTAATTATTTACCATACTTGTAAAAAATGATAGCTGATGATTAACCCAATGTTGTAATTTTACAAGTTACTGAATCCTTGATAGCATCCTAATGTTTGCAGAACGTATATCCGCCTTGTGTATCTGTAGGAGACATGGTTCATTTAAATTTAACTACAAATACAAAAATGTTTGCATAACGATAATGATACCATACATGATAGAATGCAAAGTTACACACTTATAGACGATGTTATTCACGATTCCATACATTTAAACACTCTCATATGAAAGAGCAAGACAGTTTAATTTTAAGGCTATGCTAATATTTATTGTGCTACAAACCCATTTGCCTTACTTGTTTGGGTAAGGTGGACGATATTTCAAATTGTGCAGAGAGCTTGGATGCTTGTACTTATGACCTCTGTGTATTTCCATTTGCAATTATGTTTTATTTAGTGTTCATTGTTTTATGCTATGTCACGAAACTCATGCTACTTTCGTAAATCTCGTCACGGTGGTTTGTTTGGAGCTGATAATTTTGCAAGTCAGCCTAATCGCTATAATTGTTAGTATTTTAATGTATGCAGGTGTACCTTGTTTGCTTAATGTTAACGGTATAAAAAGGATATGTCTCTTACCTATATCGCAACCCAATGCTTATTTATTACGAACCAATTTACCTGTCTTTGCCTGTTTGGGTAATGTGGACGATATTTTAATTTTTGCAGAGGGCGAGGTTGCTTGTACTTATGCCCTCTGTGTATTGTTTTTGCAGAGGTCTAGTAGCTTGGTCTACGACCTCTGTGTATTTACTTTTGCAAATATGTTATTATGTAGTAGGTATTGTTTTATGCTTCGTCATGAAACTCATGCTACTTTTGCAGAGGTCGTAGTAGCTTGGTCTATGACCTCTGTGTATTTGCTTTTGTAAATATGTTAGTATGTAGTGGGTATTGTTTTATTCTTCGTCATGAAACTTATGCTACTTTTTTGCAGATGTCGTAGTAGCTTGGTCTATGATCTCTGTATTGTTTTATGCTTCGTCATGAAACTCATGCTACTTTTAATTATTATTTCGTCATGATGATTGGTTTGGAATAAATTATTTTTGTAATCAATCTTTTTGCTACTTACAAAATTGCCAGTATTTTGAGACATGTAGCTAGATTCACATGTTTGTCAGTTTATAATACATGTTTTTAATGTATTATTTTATTATAATTATGTTTACTAGTATAACTCATGTACATGATATAGTTTGGGTTGCGATGAACGTAATTGATAAATTTTATGCCAATACTGTAAGGTGGTTTGCTTTTACTTTATACTAGATTTATTATTAAAAATAACAATGGACAAGACATACTTATAATATTTCAAAGTTCATACTCTTCATTTAATACATAATATATAAAAATCATGTCTGTTTAATGGTTGATTATTGAAGAAGAAGAAACTATGATAATTAAATCATCGCATACTATTCCTTAATATGCGTTATGTTTGTGGTCCAAGAGTAAGATCAAGTTTGTTTTTTAATGAGAATTTAAGTTTTTCCATTCTTTTACATTCTAATTTTGTTTATTTCATGCTTTAACTATGGACAAAGAGCACTGAGTCTGGCATTGATCTACGAAAGAACGTTTTCCCATTGAATGAAATGTGCAATAAAGCGTGATATCAACAACTTACATATACTTTCATATATCAGCGGTATGCCATAGTTCCGATAATACAAACATACGAATTTTGATGGGTTGCTGTTTCACTGACCTTACTTAATGACACATACCTAATTTCGAGATTAGAATTTTGATCCAGACGTGCGAGTCATATCAACAAGAATCATTGACTTACCAAAGCCTACTTTGACTGTTTTATGAATACAAATTTACAAAATTCGACTTCGATCAGCATTTGGATACACAACTGGACCCTAGTTCCAATGAAAGTCTAAAGCACCAATTGCTATTATTCAACCATCTCTGTAAAGTTTGCTATGTCGTTAATTGTCTTGGACTCTCATAACTATACAGCTCTTAGTTTTAGAAGAAGGAAAAAGCAAAGACTTCTGCTGCAGTTCATGGATGGAATTTTCCTATCCGTGATTCAAGGATTGAAGTCAAATGCGTTTATGGAATTTTACAGCATAAAAAGAATTAAGTTAGTAACAGAACTTTATGTTTCAGCTGTTTCGGGTCAGTATTGCCTGAAAAAACGTTTATGATCTTTATTTCATACATTTACAACTATCTTGTTTTGGGTCAGCATTGCCTGCCAAAACGGTTTATATGATTTTTAGTAATAAAATGCTATGCTTCTGTTCTGGGTCAGCATTACCTGCCAAAACGTTTTATGATCTTTATTTCATATAATTGCAAATGTCTTGTTTTGGTCAGCATTGTCTGCCAACACGTTTACTAGTATATGATCTTTAGTAATAAAATGCTATGCTTGTTTTGCGTCAGTATTGCCAGCAAAACGTTTATGATCTTTATTTCATACGATTGGGGTCTATATTGCCTGCCCTCCTGACGATGCTGTCTTTACACATTATTCAGACTGTCAATGTGGACATTTGATAGGCTACCATTAAATCGTGTTTTTAAATTTTATGGCTCGGTTTAACCTCCTGTACGCATACATGGATTGTTCGCAAATCATGTTATGGTTTTCAATAGAAAAATCAAATTCCCGATTTATATTAAGTATATTTGAAGTGTACATTAAAAGTCCCCAAGCTTATCAGTGTTGGATAAGTAAGTTTGGTGGATTCCCGTTATTTTTATAGTGGTATTATCGATATAAATTATTACTATTAATATTGAATGGTGGTATTCACTAGTCATTAAATTTCTAAAAAGCTTAACTTTTTACCGACTCATGAGTTACGCAAAATATTTCTAAAATCTCATATCAATAATAACAAAAATAACTGTGAGTTAAAAAAGTCTACATTAGATATTTATTTACTAATTTCAATTTAAAAACTCTTTCCTTAAGAAATTTAATAAATCTATGATCTTTATACAATTTTGATTGAAAAATGTCAAATGTAGTATGAGAATCAGTTGATCATGATCCCATATAGAAATAGTCAGATATAAAACTTCGTATTTAGAAAGGATCCAGGGCTTCGTAAAAATGTACTTCTATTTTGTTTGAAGATTTAAGATTAAAGATAAAGTTTCGGTTAATTAATGTACTAATTCTCCGTACTAAAATATTTAAGGGATACTATTCTTAAATGTCTAGATGTAAGACGATTTAGGAATTCTGAAACATATACTTAACGCCGATTATATTGTAATTTTATTGCTGTGGTCCTGACCGGAATAAGTTTTACACCTTTAATCATTTATATCAGTAAGTGATAATTTAAAAGTAATATCTTGGTATATGATCATATGAACTTTTAATAATTCTGCTCAATATGGAAACGTTTTACAAAAATAAAGTGTTATTTTTGGTGTACATGTATGTGAATGTCATGCTCGTAAATTTTTCAAGTTATATATAAACTGTATTCACGTCGCCAGAGTCCTCGGGTGGGGAATCCTCTCTTTTAGCCTTAGAGTGGCTTTGGGGTCCACTCTTTCAGCTTAAGATCGGATTTGTGGCAGATTTTTCTCCCCACCTTTGCTATTCTTTGTCATTTATTCAATTGATATGATATTAGTTGATGTAATTTCGTATTAATTATGTTTTATTATTTCATATTAAATATAAACTTTTATGTCAAATGTTTTATTTGCAAAATGTATTATTTGCATTTTATGATTTTGAATAAATGACCTTTTTTCGTCAGTTTAGTTTTTTTATCATATAGCAAATCAAGCTCAGACTCTGGCATGTGTATATAGAGTATGTTTATGGTATCTAGCTGTCTGTCTTCAAACCAATTTTATTTGCTAATTGAAAATTAAGCTGAATAAAATAATTTAAGACAGCAGAGAAAATAATTCTGTTTTAATTGTTTATTACTAAGACTTAAATAAAGAGTGAACTATTTATACTGTAAATTTATGATGTCTCTAGTCTGGTCAAAGGGTCAGAGTGTCCTACTTAATCAAAAGATAAATTGTTGAAATTAGATAACATGTTTTCACGTTCAGAGAAATTTCACTTATGACCAGTGCATGATTGGATTACATCTTTCTTATTGGTCACTGATCTTTCGTGGTCAGCACGAGTTCACGTGTAAGTGCGTTGTGGTCACTTCCTTTTATCATCAGCATTTGATGTGTTAACTTGTGATTCTTATCAAACAATTTGTTAAAAATTCCCACCCACATAAATCCCTTAATTTTATCTTTTGAAGTAGATATGTATATATGTTTATTTGTGGGGCAGATTTTTCTCCCCACCTTTGCTATTCTTTGTCATTTATTCAATTGATATGATATTAGTTGATGTAATTTCGTAATAATTATGTTTTATTATTTCATATTAGATATGAACTTTTATGTCAAATGTTTTATTTGCAAAATGTATTTTTTACATTTTATGATTTTGAATAAATGACCTTTTTTCGTCAGTTTAGTTTTTATATCATATAGCAAATCAAGCTCCGACTCTGGTCCACATCTTATAGATTACAAATCTGTCAATGTAATAAAATGTATAATATATGGCAATACACATGATACTATGTAAATCGGTATACTAAACAAGACAAACTAATCTGCATGTTATTGATTTAAAACTTTTGATCATCTGATTGAAAAAACAAGAGGTAAATCAAAATTCTTTATTATCTGTTTAAATATATCAACATAATTACGTATTTTGAGTATCAAAATGGGATATATTTATCAAGAACTGAAAAAAAAAGACTTTCAATGCATCTGTTCATTTAAGAGCGGCAAATGTATCTTTTCTCAATCTATAAATTATAACTTTATCACTAGTAGCCCGAAATTAGCCCGATTGACCGAATATTTATTAACCCAGTTTAGAAATTATTAATGAATAAAAATGTTTTAAATTCATTTCAATCTATCTCAAATTATTTTAATACCAGTCGAATAGATTCCTTTGTGGCCATTTCACGATATTTACGATATGGTTGAACTCCGTAAAATTAATTAGCCACACCCCAGTTAAACAATATCCCACTTGTGTAAGTTCGTTTTAAACAATGTCCAGACCCGTTAACGTTCCTGTTTTGTTGTATATGTAAATCATTCAAGTTTAAAAAAATACCTCGGTCTGTTACATACTTTATCGATTTTAAACAAATGTGTTACTATTTTTTGTAGTGAAATGCTATTTCAAATTTGTGTGAACTCATTTTATAATTCCATGCTGTCAATTACGGCATTTGCAGACACGGGTTAAGAAAATAAACAACACTTTTTAATGAAATTAAACTACTCACTTATAAACCAAAATTATACCAAACTTATAATCTACCACTTATATTTCCCTTCACAACGTTTGTCCAAAGTAGTTATATTCTATGCACTTATCAAAGAACAAAGATCCGATTAAGGCTTGTTACTCGCTATAACCTCAAGACAAAAGGACAAATAGTAAATTTTTAGCATTCTTCAGCTGAAAAATAACATCAAAAAGAAAAATGTTTAAAACTCGTTATATACATGTTCCATGATTTGACGAAACTGTCATCTGCTTTTCAACAGAATCTTTAATAATACCGTCTTTAGCAAACTTGGTATGTCACCTTCCATGTTTCTCAATTAAACGATCAGAAACACAATTTCTTGCAGAGGCAGTTGCATCAACGCTGTGCAAACTATGCAGATACAATTGTTTAGAATCAAGACTAATCAGTTAATGTGTCCAAAAGTAATTCCCTAGCTTTTGTATAAGATAAACTTTCAAGAATGTTTTAACTTAAAAAGCCTAAAGAAACGAAAACGTTTTGATCAGAATCTAAAAGACAGCTTAGCTAAATAAACGTATGTCAATAAGCAGACGACTGGACAGTTAGGCAAATTTGTTCAAGAAAAATCAACATTATTTCCCCTTCTATATACTTCAGTTTTCCTGGATTAAATAATTTATGCAATTAAACATAAGTGTCAAACATTTTTATGTTAAACATATTAAATGTTGCAATTGCACTGTAGCGTAAAAAACCTGCATAAACAACTAACATCCTTGCACACACTCTAACATTCGGCAAATGAGAACGATCAATACCAATTTTGTCTCCTATCTTCTGATGCAATTGATTCTATTTTTTTTCTTACTATTGGTCTTATCAATCATCATCTTAGTTTATTCTCACACGGATTATATTCTAAAATGACATCACGATACCACTTTATGCTATAAAAATGAGCCGATAAAACTGATTCAGATACGAATTGCTGTACCAGGCCATTAATATAAACTGCAACGGATGATACATTTGCGGGCAACGGAATAACTTTATATGTAATACACCATTCTATATATTTTCTTTTTGGAGATACCATCGTACATTTTTGCTCTACAATATTGAAAATGTTCTGTTTTTTTTTTCACTTCCGGTAAACTGTTGATTTGAATTCGCAAATCGAGAAATTTTCCTCCATGTTGCACTGTCCTGTAATGATAAAACATGAATAAAAATAAGCGCAACGAATTATCCGAATAAGAAATATCCATCATAAAAACGCAACAATCGTGAAAAGTGCATATTTTTAACAACTGCTGAATGAACAATTTTTATCCAGTAACAACACGAAGTGTTTTATTTTATTGTTAAACCGCACAAGGATCATTTTTTATTCTTAAACCGTACAACGTGCATTTTTTGTACTGTAGCCGCACAATGTGCTTCTCAATTATAAACTGTACGAGGTGCATCTCCAGTCTCTCAATCTATAAATCTAATAATATATAGATATGTCATCGAATGGTACATTCCGTAGTAGTTACCTATTGAGATACATTGTATAATTATTTACTTCATAGTTAAATGTACACCTGATAGTAAAATTGTACATTAAACCGTGCAAAAGAATGAGATCTCCTAGGAAAAAACAAACAAGTTTAGAAACTGGGACCTTACTAATGAATGGGGATTGAGCGAAACAAATTTCTTTAGCTGAACTTGAACAATCAAATTCAACAAAATATGTTATAAATTCGTAGGATTTATTTCCTGTTTTCTTTTTTTATTTAACTATAAGCCAAAAACAGAGGACTTAGGAACTACCAATACAAAGGAGAAGGTTTACAAAGGATTAACATTGGCTCTGAATTTTTGATGTCTTTTAAATCGGGCCAAAAAATTACAAATTTCACATAAAAATACTTGTGATAATACTATTTAGACAAAAATATATATTTTTTGGCACCTTCTTTTAAAATTTATGAATCTATGACCCCTTCAAAAATTCATGATTTGTATTTTAGAGTCAATTTTGGTAAATTTTTCAATAATTTTAATTGTTTTTTGGCACAATTAACCATGGCCCCCATCCACGATCCAAAAAGTTTATATATTGATGAATTTTATATCAAATGTGGAATCCTTTGGTTACAAAATATTTTGAATCGTAGGTGGCGGTCAAAATGTTTCTAAAGCTTTTAGGTCTGAAAATTGCACAAAATCATCAGATTTGGACAGAATGTATAAAATAGCCTTACTTTGGAGAATATTATGTACTTTTATGAAAAGAACTGATTTATTTAGCATTAAGGCTTTTGAAATAGACCTATTTACGAACCAAATTGTGACATTTTTGGTGTTTTATGATAATGATGATATTTTGTGCCATAAGTGAACCTTGTTCGAAATGTTAACATAGAATAAAGTACTCTGCACACTAACATAACCAGGGGCACAATCCAGTTGTTTTCTCCTGATCAGTCGCAAGCAAATGCGTCGACTCCGTCGGATCCAAAGACCCATAGTTTTGAATTAAACCGACCAATATTTTGATTTTATCTTTAAATCTGTCAAAACTTTATTTTCCCCCATCTGTTATCAAAAATATGAAAAACAAAGTAGGCCAAAGCCCAGTCGCCAATATAAAAAAAATCTACTAAAGTAATCTGCCTATACATTCTTAGTATCCACTCAACTTCAATATGTATACTATTAACTATGCAAATAGTATAACTATTCATAAATCAGGTTTCTTGCTGCCCACCTGACATATTGCATTAGTCAGTATAAAGTTTTTCAAGTTTTCCTCCTAATTGTGCAAACATATTTTTTACTATAAACTGAACATATTTAAAATCTCTCCAGAAGCTCTTTAGTCTTTGTAGTTAACTAAACATATTATGAGCAATTGCTAAAACATTGACATCAATAAAACCTGCTCTTAGGTACATACCGTCGGAAAAAAAATAATACGTTCTTGAATCTTGTATATAGGAAAACTTATAGATTTGGTAGAGAGTTATAATTACTTTTTCAAAATTCTAGTTCGGTTGTGACTTGAGAGGGAATTTAAAAATACGAAACCAAAGTATTTCTTTGTAATCTGACATGAATCAATTGACAAACAGGGCCAAAAGCTGAAATCAAAGATATAATCTTCCCGAGAACACATGCCGAATTTCTAGCAGTTGAACGGATTTTTTTTTTATTTTGAACTGTAATTTATTTTGTCGGACCTTTAATAACACTAGATACTAGATTCGAAGAAAAACCTAACCAATATAATTTTTGCAGTGGTGAAAAAATTTATTTCTCCAAATTTGGTAAAAAAAAACAGATTTCAAATAAGTATTTAAAATATATTTGGACATATGTTAACACCTTTCCATGTTGTCAAAAGCCCATCCGTCGTCCAAATACACTTTGATCAGGAAATTTGTTGTCCTCCGAAAAAATAACTAATGTTCTAACAACTTTAGTGTAAATGTGTCCAGCAGAAGATAATCCAAAAGGTTAAACTGAGAAAATATAACATCTTTCTTGTCCATCAATTCCCTAGAAAAAAGTAGATATTTTTGATGTATGGATGTATATTTATGTGGTGATAACCAGAACATAAATCGACATTAAACATTAAAAAAAATTGTTTGCGTATTGCCTCTTTAACTCCTTCAACTTTTATTTTATGTTTGAGTAAATATTTGTTAACGTGTCTCGGATCTAAAAACTAATCTCTATTTCTAAAAATCGTTGATAGTAATTACAGGATTAATAACATTTGGCTTGTTTGAAACTTCAGTAATACAACCATTTCATCATTTAATGGATTTGGTACAGTCTTATTTCCAACTGTGTATTTATAACTATTTACATTGACATCAACAGACCTTCTCACAAAAAGGGCTGTTCAAATTCCCTTGTTCTTCCGTCTCGGAAATCTAAACATCTCTTTTTGTTCGAAGTTCTTTTAATTTCAAAATTAACTTAATCATTGAACTTTACTATTACTAAATTCTATATCATAGTCATTTTTGTTCATTAATACATTGGTGGGACACTTGAAATAGTGTCTGGTGCTGATTTAGTACTGCTGAAAATACGTCCTTTATAGGGGCAGACTTGGGCAGTGTGTCCTGGTCTTTTACCCAAAAGCACAGTACGTAGTCGTACTACTGTGGTAGTTTTTTTTG